AAGTTGGTATTTTGTGGAAGAGCCACACTCAAGGGGCCAAAGAGGAGCATGTGGCTCGCGAGCTGCAGTTTGCCGATGACTGCTAACCAATTGAACTACCCCGCCAGGGCAGATTCACTTATATTTTTTTGTTTCTCATACTGTCTTTATCCAGATTTGATAGCAAGTTACCCTATAAATTATGGAACTTTTTTCTTTTTGTATTCCTTGAAACAATTTGGTTACATATGAAATATATGTTGCTTGAAGGTTTAGTAAAACTATTTCTAACACTGTCTAGGTATGGATTATTTATGGAAGTACATTTAGTTTCTTTATAGTTACCAGTTATTTAGATTTTCTGTGTTGTTTTTTTTCAAGTCAATTTTGGTAATTTGTTTTCTAGGAAATTATGCATATTATCTTTTCAAATTTATTGGCATAAAGTTTCTCTTATTTGCTTATCTCTATTCTGTCTATACTGATATCATTTCTTTATTTCTAATACTATTTTTTTTCCTTGATTAACTATTGCAACATTTTGCAAATTTTTGTAGTCTGTTCAAAAAAAAGTAATTTTTGGTTTTGTTGATTCTTTCTGTTGTTTCTTTTTTTTTCTGTTCTCTTACTTCCTGTGTTTGTTTTTATTTTGTCATTTTTTATTTTTGCTTTTATTTTGATTCTTCTTTTGGGGTTTTCTGTGTTCTTTGTCCAACTTGTTTTAATTACGTTTTTTAATATTTTAATACATGCATTTGAAATTATTTTTTTCTTTTTATTAAATATATTTTAATAAAGGAAGGGAGAGGAAGAGAGAGAGAAAAACATCAGTGATGAAAGAGAATCATTGATAGGCTGCCACCTACATGAGCCCCACTGGGGATCAAGTCCGCAACCCGGGCATGTGCCCCGACCAGGAATTGAACTGTGACCTCCTGGTTCCTAGGTTGAAACAACCACAGAGCTACGCTGGCCAGGCTAGCTGCCATACTTTCAATGTGGATTTTACATTCCTTCTTGTAGGAAGTTTCTTTGGTTTATTTGTATAGGATTTTAGAAGTACCTTTGATGGGTAATTTATTTAAAAATCAGTTTGACTATTAACTAGAAAATGCGAACTAAATAACTAACTAGTACTGTTTTTGAAGGGAGAAACTCAGAAAACATATTTTCTGAGAAGTTAAAAGAAGACAGTATTCCTGCTCCTCGCTCTGTAGGCAGTATTCAAGTCAACTTCACCCCTCGAGTATTCCCAACTGCTCTCCGGGAATCACGAGTAGCAGAAGAGGAGGAGGTAGGTGTACTTGCTGTTAGTACAATGACCACAGTGAAAATTCTTTATTTTTTATTTCATCTGTTCAAAACAACTAGTGTGTCTGAAATTCTTAAGTACTTATTAAACTGAAGACACTACTTCATGAATATATTTTAGTATTTCCTTATGAGAAAAATATATTTTGCAGGATTATTTTTTGGCTCCAGAATGCTGATCAGAAAACACTGATTTAATATGCAGCAGTCTTGCTTATTCCAGGAGATAAACTGTTGCATGTGCCATTTATTTTATCAAATACACCATTTTCTAGAATAGATTTGTAAAGTTTAGATCAGTATATGTTGTGGTAAGAATAGATTTGGAAATTTATTATTAATATATTACAATTAATTATTAATGTCAGGTATTCTAATGTTTGATGCTTTGGAGTTAATATCTTTCATCATTTATAAGTTCCTGAGCATTAAGATTTTAAATATTGTATCTTTAGTTATATAAGCACTAACAACTGCATTTCTTTATGGTAAGGTGTGAACTGATACTTCTCTCAATTGAAAAGTTGTGGAAATAGCTCCATCTAGGTGGCTCAGTTAGTTGGAGCATCATCCCGCACACCAAAAGTATGTGGTTTGATTTTGGTCAGGGCACATACCTAGGTTGTGTGTTTGATCCTTGGTGGAGCACATAAGGAAGTCAGCCGCTTGATGTTTCTCTCTCACATCAGTGTTTCTCTCTCTCTCTCTCTCTTCTGGAACTAAAATCAATAGACATGTCTTCAGGTGAGGATGAAGGGGAAAAAAAGTTGTGCAAGTAATTGAAGATATTTAAGGCATAATAACAATTTATAAATATTAACATTTTGTATTAAACAATATTACTTTTATATTTGCTATTGTTTTATTTTATGGTATCATAAAATATTATTATAATTATAAAGTTTTTTCAATATAGAAAAATAAGAACAAGAAGAGTGAAATAACACATAAACTCCCAAATTTGGATGAAATTTGGACTAGAAAATTTTATATATTTAATCTTAATCAGCTAGTTAACTTTTTTTATTGCATAAAAATTAAAATCACCTTCAAGTACTGTATCAGTCTGCTCCGCCTGCTATAACAAAATACCATAGACTGGGTGTGGCTTAAACAACAGACATTCATTTCATAGTTCTGGAGGCTGGGAAGTCCAAGATCAGGGTGCAGGGGTTGGGTGGTGGAGAGGAAGAACATGAACTCTGGTCTCTTCCTCTTGTATAAGGACATTAATCCTATCATTTGGGCTCTACTCTCATTACTCCCCAATGGCTCCATCTCCAGATATCATCACATTGGTGGTTATGACTCTAACATATGAATTTGGGGTGGACACAAACATTCACTCCATAAAAGGTAGTATTTCTGTTTTTGCTTTTTCTTTCTTTTTTTAAATCCTCACCCGAGGATATTTTTTTTTCATTGGTTTTTAGAGAGAGTGGAAGAGAGAGGGAAAGACAGAGAGAAATATCTATGTGAGAGAAATACATCAATTGGTTGTCTCCTGCAAAAGCCCAGGCCGGCGAGAAGCCTGCAACTGAGGTATGTGCCCTTGACCGGAATTGAACATAGGACCCTTCGGACGCTCTATCCACTGAGCCAAACTGCCTAGGGCTACTATTTCTGTTTTATGTAGGAAGATGGAAAATCTAAAAGATTTCATTCTCATTTCAGTGGCTACACAAACAAGCAGAGGCACAAAGAGCAATGAATACTGATATTCCTGAACTTAGTGATTTAAAAGAAGAAGAAAAGAACCCAGAATGGTTGAAGGATAAAGGAAAGTAAGTTTGGACTCTGGCCATGAGATTTAAAGTAAATTTATGTAGCCATTCATTTTTCTCACATTTCCCAGCTATCTTGACATATATGTTTGTGTGTGTGGCTGTTGGGGAGAGATGACGCAAATAAACAAATTAGGTAGGCAGGGCCCTTCATATTAAAAGGTCAAATCAGCCTGGCTGGTTGAGCATTGACCTATGAAGCAGGAGGTCACGGTTAGATTCCTGGTCAGGACACATTCCTAGTCAGATTCCTGCCCAGGTTGTGGGCTCGATCAATGATTCTCTCTCATCATTGATGTTTCTATCTCTCTCCCTTCCTCTCTGAAATCAATAAAAAAAGATACTTAAAAAAAGTCAGATCATATAATAAGTAAGTAAGGCTCTTATTTTTATTTTTTAAATATTTAAATGTTATAGAAATGAAAAAATCACATCTTTTGGATGGCTTATTAAAATCTCTTTTTCATTCACTTACATTTTATATAAGTTCTACCTAATACCTCACTTAAAAACTTGTTTCTTAAAAACTAGAGCTTCTTTGATTATTCATATCCATATTTTAAAAGGTTAGCAAATTATCTTATAAATTATGATTTTATATTCAGGTAATTTTTCCCCATTTACATATATATGACTCTACATGTGAATATTTTTATACAATTATCAAAAACAGTGAGTTCTGGTACATTCTGAGTGGCAATTTGAATTCATATTTTAAAGTAATAATAGATATTGTTTAATATATCATATATACTTTTGTATTTCCTATTGCTGCCATAACAAACTTAGTGGCTGAAAACAATACTAATTTATTATCTTAACAGGTTTTTTTTAAGTTCCTTTTTAAAAATTTTTTGTTGTTTATTGATTTGAGAGAGGGGGTGGAGGGAAAGGGAGAGAGAAACATTTCTTTGTCATTCCATTTATTTATTCACTCATTGGTTGATTCTTGTATGTGCCCTGACTGAGGCAGCCATGACTGGTAGATTGTAATTACTTCAGTGTTTTTATGTTTTTGTACCATTTTGCCTTACAGTCTTCAATTATGTAGAACAAGAAAGAGAAACAAAATAAGAGGACAAGAAGAGAGTTAAAAATGAGGAGAGATGGAAGAAAACTTAGTAACTAATGACATTCAGAGAAACAGAGCAAAGTACAATTAATCATAATGCCAAGTGCAAACAGATAAAAGGAAATGTAAGAATTGTTAGAAGTGTATCCTCTCTAGCAATGTAATGCAGTACAGAAGATAGAAACAGTCATAGTAGAACTGATTCAGAAGCAATGTGTTGAATTTAAGCCAAAGGATGAAATGCTTTCATCTCCAGAGGCTGTGTTTTATGGTAGCCTTCTATATTTACACGGGCAAAAATAGCCCAGCTGTCCTTCCAGTGCTGCCCTTTCAGAAAAGGGTACAGGTGGGCACGCCTTTCAAAAGAGCAATAGCTTGGGGAAACTCTTTAGGACGGCGGTCGCCAACTGATGGTCTGTGGACACTGGTGATCCGGGAGGTCCGAAAGGTTGGCGACCGCTGCTTTAGGGGATTGTATGTACTCAAAAATAATCTTGTAGAAAAAGTCACAGAGTGCTGTGTCTTAGTTTTAAATGTCGAATCTACCTTTCAGGAAAATATATACTCTTAATTTTATTTGCTCACGTAAGCATTTTACCTCTTCCAATTAACATTATGTGCAAGAAGCTTTTTACTCAGAACATCTCACATAAAACAGAGTCTAGGTGCTCTTATTTAGATATGATGCTGTTTAACAGCCTTACGTGACTTAGAGTCTAAATAACTTTAATTGCTACCCTTCCAGACACTTGTAATCATACAAGGTAGATGGACCATTGTTCTGTCCCACTGACATTACTCTGTGCATGATTTTTATCGGAGGGTTTTTTTTTTTTTAGCTAACTCTGTCTTAATCTCAGACTTCAAGTCTCTTTTTCCCCCCACAGTAGAATCCCATCTGCATAACTCTCCCACTACAGCAAATTCCAGTGTTAGATAGGAGGGAATCAAGGAATAATTCTATAATATAGCATCCAGCATCGTGGTACTATTGCTACATAAGATCGCCTACCCTAGTTCTAGTGTCTGAATTTTCTTTTTATTCTCTTGGCCATGTGCCAGATTTTGTATCCTCACTGATACTCCAGTCCTTTTTAGAGTGAGGCTCTGCTTTGCTTTTGTTTTCTCTCTTGCCACTCAGGTTAATTCTGCTTCTGAACCCCAACTTTGTATGTAGCAGCCTGCTATTTGCTGACAGACTAAACTAGTACCAACTTGTCTGAATTTCTGTATGACTGCAGTTTCTGAATTTTCTGAATATGGATTTTTACCTTCCTGTCTGGATGTCCTTTTAATTTATGTTGGGCTTTTAAGAAATTAAACTTATTGAGGTATCATTGGTTAATAATATTATATCATTTTCAGTTGCACAACATTACAATTTGACATCTGTATACTCTATTGTGTGCTCACCACCCAAAGTCTAGTTTCCCTCATGTTGAACTTTTTGATGCTGATTGTCTGCCACCTGTTACTATCTTCTCCCAACACAGCTTTCGGTTCTACTTGCCAAATTGAATTTCTTTGTAATACTTTGGTTTGGGTCCATGCCTTGGCAAGACAGTAACAAGTTAGCTACCACAGTTTAATGGATGCTGGCGGAAGACAGGAGACTCGTGTGTCAAAGACAAAGGACTTCATTATTCAAGGCATGGCAAGCAGTATGAGCTTCATTCACGTTGGTTCCTTTTGTCCCTCAAGTCTCACAAGGCCAGTGCAGAGGTGGGGCTGGGTGAATGCTATACACACAGTAGGTTAGCACCACAGTGGAGAAGACTAAGCTTAGGGAGCACGGTTTTCTATAAGATAGTGAGCAAACCTGTCCAATCTTTGCCTTGCAGGGAGATATTGTCTATATCTTACTGAGCAACAACAAATCTGCTCTTTGCCCCAGAAAGAGACACTATCTTTGTCTTTCAAGGCTGTCTGCTATACAGACATCTTTTGTTTGTCCCATACAAAATCTGTCAGTGGATCTGACATAAGACATGCGGGAGACTCACGGAGAACTGCCTCCTAACAGCCCCTCATACCTGCCTATGTTTAGTACAGATCGGCCAAATATGCCCTGCTTTGCTGCATTCTAAAGCTCTGTTTGTTTATGATAGTTATTTATGCTGCTACCTTTTGCCTGACTGAAAGATGTTTAGATTTCATATTCTAAGATGACTTCTTTGATGTAATTATAATTCTGTTCAGTTGCTTGTTTATATGCGTTTTACAGCCCATAATATTGTGTTGCAGTGCACCTATTATGGCCTGACTTGTCATTTTGTTTTTATGCCATATCCTTTTCCTCCTTCTACCCTGAGTGCTAAATTGCAGTGGTTGATGTGCCTAAGACACACATATCAGTTTCAGACGCTCTTGAGATACCCAAGTATATTTTATACCCAGACAAGATGTTGAAGGAGACAAGGCCTTTCAAAGTCCTTTGGGGGACACGTGGGTACTACAGTTCCTATTGCCCACAAAACAAAGCTATTCTGTCTTCTGTTGGAACGTGTTGCTCCCTACCCCTATTCCAGTTTCTAAGCCCCACTACTTCTGATTTCTCTCTTTTTTCCTTTCATTACTTCCCTCCACTTTGCTTCTTTCCTGCTTTTGTTGCTTCTCCACACTCAGCTGTTGTACAGAATGTTTGACACTTTTGGCCATTGCCAGTTAGAATGTTTCTTTCTAAAAATTAGAGGAGTTTGCAATTGTCCATGTCTCTTGAATACAATAAGCGTTCAATATATATTAAATGAGTGCTTTTGCATAATTCTTTTCATTAGCATTGCCTTATTTAGGGCATCTGGGTAGACTTGATGGTTATTAGCTTCTCTGTTTATGTATTATTTTATTTTTTAAATATATTTTTTATTGATTTTAGAAAGGAAGAGAGAGAGAGAAGGAGATAGAAACATCAGTGATGAGAGATAATCATTGATCGGCTGGCTCCTGCACGCCACCTACTGGGGATCAAGCCCACAACCTGGGCATGTGCCCTGACCGAGAATCTAACTGTGACCTCCTGGTTCATAGATCTACACTCAACCACTGAGCCACGCTGACTGGGCATTAGCTTCTCTGTTTAAATTTGGTGTTCAACGATTATTTTTTAGACAGAGGTTTAATTTTTTTTCTCTTGAAACTTGACTATTTCTGAGTTCAGACTGTTTTTGGTTATTTAAAGTAGTATTGAACTTTAAAAAATGTAGCCCTGCCTGGCTTGTGCCTCAGTGGTTGAGCATTGACCTATGAACCAGGAGGTCACAGTTCGATTCCTGGTCAGGGCACATGCCCTTGTTGCAGGTTCAGTCTCCAGTAGGAGGTATGCAGGAGGCAGCAGATCCATGATTCTATCTCATCATTGATGTTTCTCTCTCTCCCCTCTTCCTATCTGAAATAAATTTTAAAAAATGCAAAAATAAATTAAAATAAAAATGAACCAGTGTTTTTTGTTTTTAAATATATTTTATTGATTTTTTACAGAGAGGAAGGGAGAGGGATAGAGAGTTAGAAACATCGATGAGAGAGAAACATCGATCAGCTGCCTCCTACACACTGGGGATGTGCCTGCAACCAAGGTACATGACCTTGACCGGAATCGAACCTGGGACCCTTCAGTCCGCAGGCCGACGTTCTATCCACTGAGCCAAACTGGTTAGGGCTGTTTTTTGGTGTGTTTTTTTAAATAAAAGAATGTAGCCCTGGCTGGTGTGGCTCAGTTAGTTGAAGGTCATCCTATGCACCAAAAGGTTGCTGGTTTGATTCCGGATCAGAGAACATGCCCTGGTTTGGGGCTAGATTCCCATTCGGGTGTGTGCAGGAGGCAGCCAATTGATGTTTCTCTCTCATTGGTGTTTCTGTCTTTCTATCCCTCTCCCTCTCTCTAAAATTAATTTAAAAAATATATATATTTTTAAAAAGCTCAGCCACGGTTTGGGCTTTGTGCTTTCTTCATTTGTACCCAGCAGGGGGAGTTTATCCAATTTTTCATGCTCTAACTTTGAAAACAAAGTCACAGGCTTCATTCTCTTTTCTTTTTTAAAAAAATATATTTTTATTGATTTCAGAGAAGAAAAAAGAGGAAGAGAGAGAGAGAAACATCAATGATGAGAGGGAATCATTTATTGGATGCCTCCTGCATGCCCCACACTGGGGATTGAGCCCGCAACCCAGGCATGTGCCCTTGACCGGAATCAAATCCGGGACCCTTCTGTCTGTCTGCAGGCCGATGCTCTATCCACTGAGCCAAACTGGCTAGGGCAACAGGCTTCATTCTGAATAGACCAAGTTAGGTTATAACACCATCCCTGAGTCAATCATTGTAGCAAGGAGGATGGAAATGTGTGTATGAACTTAAACTACTTATGTCTACCCTTGGAGGTAGGGGTGAGGTCATGCTGATTACATCCTGACGTATGTGGAGTCAGTATAGCCTATAACCTCCATTATACAGGGAATAGAAAAGGAGGTAAGCCATTCCCTTTGCCAAATATCATTAGATATTTCTGTGTTTCTGTTTCAATATTAATATTGTTTATTTTTGTTTTGTTTTTGTCTCATTAGCAAATTGTTTGCAACAGAAAACTATTTGGCAGCTATTAATGCATACAACTTAGCCATAAGACTAAATACTAAGATTCCACTATTGTATCTGAATCGGGCTGCTTGCCACCTAAAATTAAAAAATTTACACAAGGCCATCGAAGATTCTTCTAAGGTATATATATTTATCTACATATGATACTTTAAAATTGTTATACTCCTATTTATTGGTGTAAATGATGACCTTACCTTTTATGTGTCAAACTTAAATAATTGAGAATTATTTAAATAATAAAGGATTTTAACAATCATCGTGTTTATTACATCTTTTTTTCTGGAAAAAAATTTTATTTATTTATTTTTTTGCATGGACAAGTTTCTTGAGCCTTTAAGTTAGATTAGAAATCCACTATCAATTGCTACTAAATTGCTTTGGTCTATCAGTTGAAATTCACATGGAAATGAGTAAATTGCTGTCAGTTTGTGCTCACCCTTTTTCTTATTAAAATTTTGGACACATAATACAAGGTGGAAGGAAAAATACTTGGTATCACTGCCGCTTGCACAGTAAAAGCCTATCTCAATAATTGTTTTCACATTTTCAGAGTAACTTAGTATTTCCTAATTTTCATTACTGATATGTCATTATCTTACACTGCTAGTTTTTTTTTCATATCAAAGTAACTTGTTTTAAGGGAAAATCAATGCAAAAATCTCTTATGTGGGTCCTTGAAATTGAGGATATGGAAGAAACGACTAAGTCCTCATACTCTGATCTCATTAAGCTACTGACCATCTGACAATATTTTTTAATCTAGTTTTCCCTTTACTAGAATAATTTTGTACATAAACAAATACTGAATAAATGAATAAACTGAATCATCTAATTTGAATATAAAGAGCCAAAAATGCTACTTAATCATTCTTGCTAGTAAAGATAACGCTTTAGAGATTTCAGATGATGAACCAAAGTAAAACTTTGGAGAAGAGGGGTATGAGTCTCATATAGGAACAATTGAACAATTCCTTAAATTGCTCAACATAAATATATGTATTTAATAAATTCCTATAGTAGCTAAGCCAAAAGTTTAGGTGGGTGAGAGCTTGAGGTTTGTTTTTAAAGTTAAAGTTTTTACCATATTTTTGTTTAGATTTGAATTAGAAAGTTATGTTTTCCCCTTATTATTATTATTATTTTGTAAGGCACTAGAATTATTGACACCACCTGTTGCAGACAATGCTAATGCAAGAATGAAGGCATATGTACGACGTGGAACAGCATTCTGTCAACTAGAATTGTATGTAGAAGGTAAGAAAATGAAAGAGATGTTTCAAGTTTCAAATTATACTCTGGAAAAAATGTTATTAGGCTTATTTAAGATCATGACTGTTTAGAACTCCATTATTTTATATTTTTATGACTTTATTTAATCTTTGTAACTTATCTGACAAAAAAAAATTTTTTTTATTAAATCTTTATTGTTCAGGTTACATTTGTTCCTCTTTT